CCAATAGCCTTGGAAATCTAGGTTGCCTGGAGTTTCTGTTCTCTGGACAGTGTCCCTGCACTAGCTGCATTTGGGGGCCTACAAGAGGAGACCTTCAGTCAGTGCAAACACATGAGTGCGCTGCACAGAGGTACGCAGGAGGGCAGATCCTGGGATCACAGTGGTCCTTTCTGGCCTTGGAAACTAATGAGCCACATTTAAACCCAGAACTTGTTTACCAGGAGCTCAGTGGGTACTTCTTTGAAATGAATTAAATCTGGCTATTGGTATTCTCCAGCCTCGACTCCTGGCCTTCAGGGGCTATTTCTGGAGTAGGCAGGCTATTGGACAGTCTGGGCCAAATGCTAAGTATGCATATGGTGAAGTGTGAGCAAACTTTTGCACAGACATTGGTGTGTGCCTCCTTAAGGCCTGATTTACATATGTAACTGGAGAGAGCATGTGTGCGGGAAAGCTGGGGAGGGCTAGCCTCCCACTAGTTCGAATTAAGGGGCTACACACCCCTTAATTCGAACTAGCTAGTTCGAACTAGGCTTAATCCTCGTGGAATGAGGATTACCTAGTTCGAACTAAGCGCTCCGCTAGTTCGAATTAAGTTCGAACTAGCGGAGCGCTAGTGTAGCGCCTATGAAAGTTAGTTCGAACTAACTCTGTAGTGTAGACATACCCAGATTGGTTTAACATGATTTGTTCTTTACAAATCCCTGCTGGCTGTTCCCTATCCCCTTGCCACCTTCCAAGTGTTTGCAGATGGATTCCTTAACTACTTGCTCCATTATCTTCCCTGGCACAGAAGTTAAACTAACTTTAGAGACTCCACCTGCCCCCTAGGGAGCCCTCCCTCCACCTGCCTCGGGAAATCACTTTTCCTAGACCTCCCCCCTGCACCTGGAGCCCATTGCTCCTCATTCTGCCATCTGCCCCCACTGACAACAGCCTCTCTCCAGCCTCCTTGGGGTCCTGCAGGGACCTGGACCTCTCAAATCCCCCCTCGCTCTTCTCTTCTGCAGACTAAACAAGCCCAAATCCCTCCGCCTCTCCCCAGAGGTCATGTGCTCCAGCCCCCGAATCATTTTGGTCGCCCTCCGCTGGACTCTCCAATGCACCCCATCCTTTCTGCGATGGGGGCCCACCCAGAACTGGACACCAGAGCCGCATGAAGGGGAATAAGCCCGTCCCTTGAGCTGCTGGCCATGCTCGTCCCAAGGGCACCGGCCGGAACAAACCCTCAGCCCTGGCCGGAGGGGGCAAGGCCCCCGGGGGAGAAATGGCGACTGGGAGGGGGCGCCCCACTGAACACGCGGACACGGCACGTTGCAGCTGCAGTTTTATTTCCTTTTGTAAAAACATGATTAGAGGGGAAAACGTCCCCATCGATGTAACCCCTCCCCTCCCCCAGATACCCACAGGAGGACATGGGGCAGTGTGCTGGCACCGTCCCGGCAAGTGGCACTCCCTCCAGATGGGGGCAGGGATCTTGGTGCTCTCCGGGGAGGGGAAGCTGGCCCTTCTCTGGGGCAGGGGGCCGGCGTTTCTGGCACTGAGACCCGCCGGCTGGTGGGGCAGCCCTGCTCAGAGGTAGCCCGTGCCGCAGAGAGCGGCTCCGTCCTCACAAGTCCGCACGGCCAAGGCAGAGGCAGCTGGGAACGGCTCTGAGCACCCGGCCCCTCCCTCCAGAGTCCACGTACAAAAGAGTTCAGCACGGGTCAAATATTGACCAATAACGGTTTGGCTGCGTTTGGATCCCGATTGCGGCTTCAGCAATGTACAGCGGGGAGCCGGGGAGGGCCGCTCCCCCCTAGTCGGCTGGCTTGGTGACCAGGGCGAGCGGCTGCGGCCTGAGCACGCGCACAGGCGGT